TATTTTAAACTGTTACGATTTCACAAGTGTAATACATAATCTCTTGGTGATGATAACATATGCAATGTCAATAACTGAGACAATAGTAACAGTCACATAGTTATATATATAAAAAAATATGATGATGAAATGATACCAAAGACGAAAACAAAGCAAAAATAGACAGACTGCGCTAAAAGCAAATAAGTGAATGATTTAATAAACATTAATGAATTAAGAAATACCCTTGTGCAGATACGGATACAATATTTAGCGCATGCACTGATGTGAATATTGTACAGTAATTCAATAGAGCTTCTACGTCGCGAGAGATAAGCTCACGCGACGTCAATACACCGCGCATTCTGTATTAAAGTTCCTCTAATAAGTTAGTTATTTATGCTACTGCCATAGCTATCTTAAAGAGTTCAGGTGAAAAGAAAAAAACATGTTCTGGACGCGTTGAAATTTGTATAAAAGCCAGAAATAGTAAGAAATGTTGTCATTGTAATAAATATTTTTCGTCGCATTGCACGTTGATACCCGGTGCGTCTTTATTGCAATAAAGGATTATTATTACTGTTATGTTGCAGTAGGAAAGAGGGCTTGGGAGGGAATGTACGCTAACAGACATACACGAAATGTGGACGTACATAAACACATGCAGATACATGTATACACTCATTGACCTGGACAGAAACTAAGGTATTCTTTCTCACCCTTCCTCACTGCCTCTCTTTTTCTCGTTATCTGTTTCTTTATCTCTCTGTCACTATCTATCTCTATCTCTGTCTGTCTATCTGTCTGTCTGTGTGTGTCTCTCTCTCTCTCTGTCTCTCTCTTTCTCTCTGTCTGTCTGTCTGTCTGTCTGTCTGTCTGTCTGTCTGTCTCTCTCTCTCTCTCTCTTCTCTCTCTCTCTCTCTCTCTCTCTCTCTCTCTCTCTCTCTCTCTCTCTCTCTCTCTCCCTCTCTCTCTCTCTCCCTCTCTCTCTCATACATACTCACACACATGATTTAAACACCCACACCCGCACACCCACGTTCCTTGACAAACTTTGAAATCTTATCGAATATATTGCATAATTCAGCATCCATTACAGTAGAACTATAGTCTTAATATTTTTATTTTGGTATAATAAGTGTTGGTCATTTTTCAAAAACATTACCAAACAATTCAGACGTCGACTTGATGTGTGTATTATAATGAGAAGAAGGATTGGGGGAAAAGAGGGGAAGGGAAGAATGAAGAAGAGGAAGAGGAAGAGGTGGAGGAAGAGGAGGTAGAAGAGGAAGAGGTGGAGGAAGAGGAGGAGGAAGAGGAAGAGAAAGAGGAAGAGGAGGTGGAAGAGGAAGAGGAGGAGGAAGAGGAAGAGGAGGCAGAAGAGGAAGAAGAAAAAGTGGAGATGGGAAAAAAAGATGATGAGAAGAAGACGGAGGAGGAGGAGGAAGAGGAGTAGGAGACGGAAGAGGAGAAGGAAGAAGAAGAATAAAGGGAGGAAGAGGGGGAATCGTAGACGAATAAGGAGGAAGAAGAGGATAAAAGGGGGGGAGGGGGAGAGAAGGAGAGGTAGGAATATGAGGAGAAGAAGAAGGATGAGGGGAAAAGGAAGATAGGAAGACGGGGGAGAAGGAAGTGAAGGAGGAGGAAGAGCAGGCAAAACGATGGAAAGGAATTGGAGGAGGGTTAGTTAGAAGTAAAGGAAGAGGAAGGGGAGGAAAAAGAAAAGGAGTAGGAGGAAGAAGAGGAAAAAAAGGGAAGTGGAAGAGACGGAGACAGAAGAGGAGGAGGAAGAGAAGTACAAAAAAGAAGAAGAAGAAGAGGAAGAAGAAGAAGACGAAGAAGAAAAGAATGACAAAGACAATGGATAAGAAGGAGGATGAGGGGAAAAGGAGGAGGAACAGAAGAAGAAGAAAGAGGAAGAATATATGGAGGAGGAGGAAGAGGAGGAAAAGATGGAGGAGATGGCGAAGGAGATAGCAAAGGAAAAAAAAAAAACAGAGAAAAAAAGTAGCAGCAATAGTACCAGAATAATAACTTCTTCAAGACTGTGGCCAATCCATATTTAAGCATTGCAGACGCTACTCTGTTCATGATGCAGAACACAATAATCCGCCGTCGATTTTACCGTTTAAGAATGCAACAGAATCAAAATAGCATGCGGATGATCACTGTAAATGTAATAATTGCATTTTGATGATTTCGTATAAATGAATTTAAAAATGCTCAGTGATGTCTTTGGTCCACATAACACACACACGTGCATATACTTTAGAGGTTTATGCAGTGTGTGCGTGTGTG